GGTCTCGCAGCGCCACAACTGAGATGCCTGCTCAGCACGCCTTCTTCCCGGTCCGCATGGGGAGATTTCTACGACCCAAACCCTAAACCCTACTGTCCAGGTTTTAGGGTTTAGGTTCAGGGCTCAGGGTCTTAAAGCCAAAACCCTGATACTCCGAACAACCTCGGCAGCACCCCTGCTGCTGATGGCAGTAGTAATGATAGCTGTAGCCTTTTTGTTTTCTATAAGTCTTGTTCTGGCGGCGAGTGTTAGCCTGAGTCGTTGGCGGGTTGCTGGCTGCATCTGCTTCTATAGCTGTTCTTCTATAGCTGCCAAATGTAAGGGTGGAAACGAGGCTTGGTTCAGCATTAAACAGCAGCCGTCACAGGTGGGGGGGGGGGGTAGGGGGGGTCGCTTGCACTTAGCTCCCACTGCCTGGCATTCCCTAATAATACTAAAACGCCGTCATGCTCTGCCAGACTTTTGCTATCTCGTTGCGGCGGTGTGCATGCCGACCGCTGTCGCATGCTTCAAAGACCGACTGCTCAGCCCAGTATTTGGACTTCTCGGTTTAAAGTTCAGCAAGATCGCGCATACTTGACTTGATGGTGTTCTTGACTTCACTTGAGATCTCGTCACGATGTACAACCATTCACGAATCATTTACAAATCGTGAGGAACACCGGGTTGTCGACAGAAAGTCTGGTTTACATGTCTCCGTTATAAACGATGCTGTGCTGAGGCCGTCGGAGCTTTTGTTGGCAAGAGGACCTGTTTGGCCCTTTGTGCCTTTGTCATGTGGGTTCGCCAGCTTCTGGGACTGCTTCTTGAGAGGGACAACCGAAAGGCCAGGGTGCCTGGAGACTCTCAGGTAGGGACTATAGTTATTGCAATACGAAGACTCTCCTTCCCCAAAGACTATGACCGTTTTAACACAGGATTTCATGTGATACCAAGACTCTCCTTAACCGAAGGTTGTGACCGTTTTAACTCGGGCCTTCGATTTGTAATCCCGAGAGAAAGCAAGGTGAAGCCTGAACCCCGCAAGCAGCTTGTAGCCCGACATCCCAATGCAATGGCGGGCCCAGCATTGCGTAAGCCTCCTCAGACATTCCACCAAGACTCGAAGTCTCACAAAGCAAACACCGAGCCGTGGCACCGACACCCGAAGCCGAAGCACCCCTCAGCCCCACACCGGACTAAGCCTGTAGTTACTACGGCCACATTTCGGGTTTAGGGTTCAGGGATATTGTGTTTAGGGTTCTAGGGGCTTTATGGGGTATGAGCCTTAAGTTCATGAACTTCATCAAACCTGCAGCGAGCAAGAAGAAGCACCCAAGCTCGGCTGGAGCTCTTGGGCTGTTTGGTTGCGCTCCAGATTGCTGAGCCTATTGGCTACTACACGGAGCCAGCCACGCCAGCAACGAGGCCCCTTGAAAGTTACCTGAGATGGTCCTCCGGTACTTAAAGGATCATGGGACTTATAGTAACTAGGGTTACAATTAAGGTAACTGTACTTATAATTACTTATAACCCCAAGTAAGGTACTTATAACCCTACTTACTAATTCCCATGATCCTCCAAGTAGGAGTAGTTGTTGTAGCTACGCTTGTGACGACGATGATGTCGAGACTGTCTTGGTTTCATGATACCCCTGTTGCTGGTAACCTATACAGTAAGATTGAGATGCCAAGATTTTTGAATATGCCGATGGTGAAGAAGAAGAAGAGTATTGTCACAATCATTGCCATCATCACCACCATCATCATCATTCAGATGATTCTGGTTCTAATGGTGGTGATGGTGGTGGTGGTGATGATGATGATGATGAACCCTTGGTCCAGAGTACGAGATGACTGGGCTGACGGCCTCCACTATGAACATCGCTTGACCCAGATTCCCCAGCTGAAGTTTGGGGTTTAGGGTTCAAATGTCAGCCTGTAAAGAAGCCCTCAATGGCCGCCGCTGTCGCAACGGGCTCCTGACGTGGTGAGCTTCCTGTGCATCCAGCCCAGTCCGGGTTCACGAAGGGAACGGGCCCAAAGCTTCCCGACGGTCAAGATGTTCAGGCTGATGATTTAGGGGAGTTCAGGTAAGGTGTGGAGGAGTTCTATGGGCACAGGTTTTGCCAGTGTCCCGAAGCAAAGCGGGAGGCTGATGGGAGCGTTTTCTCTTTGAACCCTCTGCTCGCATCTTATCACCGTGAGTGCGAAGGGTACAAGCACTGGGGGCCACACTGACCTGGGTTTTGGAAGGGCCCATTAACGGTTTAGAGTTTAGGATTTAGGGTTTTAGGGTTTAGGGTGTATGGGTTTGGGGTTTATGGGTTCTAGAAGCCTGATTCATTACACAAGGGCGGAAGCGATTCCGGAGAGGTAGTGCTTGGGCTCAGGGGTATGAGAAGTGAGAAGTTCAGTGTTGCTGGCTTTTGGGCTCCCTGCTCAGATCCGAACCATTCAATCCCTACGAGCCCTAGATTAGGGACCCAAAAAGCACATAAGCATAAGCATTATATGGGGATATCCCTACCTTATTGGGCTTCATTATAAGGGGGGTTATATGGGATATCCCTATCCTAATTGTTGCTTATGTGCTTTTTGGGGCCCTACTAGAAAAACTCTGCAAGCCCTAGAAGACGCGGAATGCTAAACTTTACTTCTAACTATCACCGTTAGCATCCTCTAGACCTACACTATCCAGAGGCCCCAAAGTAGTTCCTTCTTGGGATTACCTTATAGGGTTCTATATACGAACCCCAAAAAAGGAACTACTTTGGGGCCTTAGGGTAGAATCAACCCGAAACCCCTAAACCCTAAACCTCTAAACCCCTGAACCCCTAAAAGCTCAACCCAAACTTCCCTCAATAGAAGAAGCCCGAAACCCCTAAACCCTAAACCTTCAGGCCTTTGACCTTTACAACCCTAAACCCCAGGCCCTAAACCCTAAACCCTATAACCCTAAACCCTAAACCCTTTGCAGGAGGACCCAGAGTCGAATGTTCAGGGACTCGGGATTCGGGGCTCAGGATTTTTCGAGTAGTTCAAAAGTTTGGGGTCGACCTCAACACCCTAAAAAGGGATCTATAATAGGGTTACTAAAAGGGATCTATAATAGGGGTTACTAAAGGGATCTATAATAGGGGTTACTGAAAGGGATCTATATAAAGCTTACTAAATGGGATCTATAATAGGGGTTACTAAAAGGGATCTATAATAGGGTTCTATAAAATAGGGGTCGTAATAACTAGAAGAGGGTTTTGGGGCATACTATGCTATATTCTAAGGCCCCAAAGTAGTTTCGTTTCGGGGTTCATATGTAGAACCCTGTAAGGTAATCCCCAAAAGGAACTGCTATGGGGCCTGTGGGTAAAAACTTGTATTCCGCTTCATGCAGATGTACAAAGAAACCCAACCCGCAAAGTCTCTTGATCGTTAAGGGCAGGGGTCTGCAGTTGAGACTCAGCATGTTCCGGATCTATGATCCCGGCTCAAGCAGCTGTGCGTCTTTGTTTCTGCATTGGGTTTCAGGATTCCTGAAACAGTCGTGGCAGGTGGGGATCTGATAGAGCTCCTATGGCAAAAGGGTTTCCACATCATGCCCCGAAAGCTGTACTTTAGGCCTTGAAGCCTTCTGCCCCGTACCCCCCTAAGGTGAAGAAAGAAGGAAAGCGGAATTCAGGATGTATCGTTCGGTGCTCCCAGTGATGAGCCGTCCCTTCCAGAGTGTGCTCACGGCACCCCACATCGCCGGGAATTTAAGCGGCATTGCCGGCTTTAGAGAAAAAGACGCCCTGCAGAGAAAGCCCCGCAGTCCGAAGCGCAACTTCTAAACCCGAAGCCATCGTCTTTGTGATCGAGTCGCAACTGGCCCAAAAGCTGCACCTCAGCTTCGCAATCAGAACCAGATAGCCTTAACACTACAATGTGTCAATTAAGACTCGACCCCCAACAACAACAAATTCTTCGGAATATGTACGCACGACCTCTCCGTCATCAAACCACTGACGTAAACCCAGAGGCTTTCAGCAGGCGACCGAAGACAGGGGTTGGAAAATGATATAGTCATAGCATAATTTTGCAGTTCCCAGAGAAACTTACTCCGACACATCCCGAAGTAGCACTATTCTAGTTTGAAGGCTCGAATATGTGTATAGTCTCGGCATTGAACACCTCATTATATTTTTGCAATATACATGACACGCTGAGCATCTCAGGTCGTGAGCGACGACATCCTCTTCTGGCTGAATCAAGTTGAGGCAGCCCAACAAGGCTGAAAACTCGGTTTCACCAGCGTTAGATCTGTTTCTTCTTCAATGCTTCCCATCGTTCGTGCTTAGGTATTGTGTGCCTGTAACCCGCATATATATATATATATATATATGTATATGCATATGCATATATATATATATATATAGCACATGCAATATCAGTTTTGGGTTCGGTAGATTTGTGATACTTCGGGATGTTGCAGGAAGCATGTACAGTCACTCGTCGAAGCTCCAGCGACCTCTCGCGGTTACAAAGGCTTCGGCCGGCAGTGTCCTGGGTTTAGGGTTTAGGGCTTTTTAGGGGGTTTTAGGGGTTTGGGGCTCTATTCATCTGTGCATATCAATGCTAAGGTTTATCGAGATGCTGGTAACAGTGGTAGTCGCAGCTAGCTAGTCGCAGAAATAGTAGCCTCCGACAGGGTTTGGGTTACCCGGAATCCAAAGCAGGCCACGGTGTCTAGAGATGAGAGTGTTGGGAAGCCCACTAGAGTGCTGAAAAGAATAAGACAAAACCTCCTGGCGAGCTTTCCAGACGAAGGCCCGTAGCGTTCAGTAGAGGAGAGACGAGAGAGCCCGTATTATTCCCATTGCCTGTGCTGCTTAGCGCCGGTTCCGACCGCTACAGCGGAAAGCGAAGTTGAGGACAACTTGACTACAATCCTACTTGCGGGCCCCTGGTTGTGGCTCTCCCAGCCCAAAGCTTTGCAACCTAAGCTTCCTTGGTAGAAGGTATCAGCCTGTGCCATCGCCTGCCATGGCGCAGAAAGTGATGAAGAAGGAGGCGCTTCGAAAGAGCCCTTTCACCCGAGCACCCCGGGCTGAGATACAGCTTTTTCGCTCCAGCCCGGGGTACCCAACCCACCCCCACACACCCAGTACGGTTGATGATATAAATCCCGCATTACCTTAAGGACCCTAAACTATGGGAATTATGGTATATTCCTTATTATGGGTCATGCAGGATTTATATCATCAACCGTAGCAGCACTGAATACAAGAATGCTTCCTAAACTGGCACAAAGGCGTCGCCCCACGGGTTGCTCAAGCGCCCTCTGCCGCAGCCCTGGGGATCAGACAGTTGTGGCCGACGAAGGGTTTAGGGTTTAGGGTTTAGGGGTTTAGGGTTGAGTCTCAATGTAGGCTGGCAGGTTACTTACATGCCTGGCTTGACTCTTCAATCAGATAGAATTAGAAGGGTTTTTAAGAATGCCTGTTCCGATCGGGTCTGGGGCATCAGGCCGTGCATTTGGATCGACTCATCTTCTTGACGCGTAGAGCTCTTCCTTTGCTGCTGTATGTCTCTAAACCCATAAACCCTACACCCTAAACCCTTAAACCCCTAAACCCGATTACCCCAAACCCTGAAATTCTAAACCCCTAACCCTAAACCCCTAGGCCCTAGACCCTAACCCCCTAAACCCCAAACCCTACATACTCTCAAGTTTCATGACTTCGGATCTTCGAAGACTCAGGGCCGCTATCTCTTGCCGCAAATTGTCTTTGGTTTCATCTCGTTTTCCAAGGTTTGTGCTTGGATTTAGGTATTACCCAGAGGCCCCAAAGTTGTTCTTTTTTGGGGTTCATATATAGAATCCTACAAGGTAGTCCCAGAAAGGAACTAGTTTGGGGCCTATGGTTAGGGTGTGGTTTAGGGTTTGTGGGACAGGAGTCACTGCCTCCTTGAGCTAGTTTGGGGTGCGGCTTGATCTTGCTTCCAAGATGCGCATGAATTTGTAGGAGATTTTGCCATGCCGGACGTTTCGGATACCAGCTGTCGGCACGCAAAACACCAAACCACTCGGCAAAAGCAGCCCAGTGCTGAGAATCAAAATGCTAGTTGATACTTAAGCCCTGCAGTTTAGCGGAGAGCTATCCAAGGCATACAGTATGTGGCATATACGCTCCAAAGCTATGGGTTTCCTCCGGAGAATTCAGCGCTTCGGTGCTCTTTATGCCCCGAGGCGGCATCGATTCTTCGCCCTTCGGCATGGCGAGCGCGGAGACCCAGTCGATCAGACTGGCTATGCACAGATGGGAGTTTCGGAAAATAGGGGGCCCTAATATAGCACCCTAAATAGTAGGATCCTTATTACAAGGACCCCAAAATCAGGTACCCCCAATTTTCGGAAACCCCCAGATGTATCGAGATGCCAACAGTTGGAGCCGGTTCTACTCCGGCGACGCACAGACTGGCCAGTGATCATGTCAATGTGATTCCGAAAGTTAGTGTTCCATCGGGGGAGTGCTCCAAGCAGATGGCTGCAGGTTCGCTTAGGAGAGAAGTGGTCCTATCCGTACTCATATAACCTTCTTTGATTTTGCTGTTGAATTGTGTAACTTCATACAGTTGGGAGACTTCCAGTGCAGTAGCAGAACAAAACACTGCAAGCCATGCCGGTCCTTCAGCCTGTGCACTAGCCTACAGCAAGGTCCAAAGCGAACGTCGCCAAGATCATCATCTCCGATCCCAAGGCCGCTTGAGCCTGCTCTTTGGGTGAGGTTTTGCGGAAGACCCTAAACCCTAAACCGTGTGCGCTTTGTTTGGACTGACCCTCTAAGCCCTCACCCCCCTCAGCCCCAGCAACTTGAAGCATGCCTTGCTCTTGGAGGATCATGGGACTTAGTAATTATGGTTATAAGTACCCTAAGTGGGGTTATATCTAATTATAAGTATAGTTACCTTAATCAAAACCCTAGCTACTAAGTCCCATGACCCTTTAAGCTGTCGCTAGGTGGGCACGAAGAAATACGGCTTGACGAAAGCAGGACCTGGCCTTTGCCCGCCTCAGACATAGCGTTTTGCGTTTTAAGGATTCGGATTTTAGTCCGCTGGCGGTATTCTTCCCGCAAGTGTAGGGCTGCAGTTGCAGAGATGTTCGGGAGATGTATAAACTTCCAAGATACCTATAGGCTCCATTGTAGTTCCTTTTTGGGGTTCATATTTAGAATCCTATAAGGTAATCCAAAAAAGGAACTACTATGGAGCCTTTGGATAGTTTCTTCGTCCGTTTGTTGCCTGGCTGAAGCCCGAAAGTGATGTGAAACCTGTTTCCTGAAGGGCTTGCATCAAAGGGGAAAGGAGGGACCCTTAATAAGGACCCCTAGGTATCTACCCTTTATATAGCCATTGTATCCCCATTATATAGCCCATTATAGGGTAGGGGTCCCCATTAAGGGCCCCTCCTTATCCCCTACTAAACCCTAAACCCTTGTAGATCCCTTTAAAGGAACCCTAAGAGCCCTAAATTAAGGGTCCCTCCTCTTCCAGATTCACGAGCCCAAAGTCGCCGCACCATGACATGTCAAGAGGTTGGGGTTCTTCGTGTGTGGAGGTCATGCATGCCGCGATTTGGGAGTTTCCAAAAATACGGGGTACCCTATTTTGGGGTCCTTATAATAAGGATCCTACTATCTAGGGTGCTATGTTGGGGTCCCCTATTTTCGGAAACTCCCATTTGATGTATCTTCCAAAGCAAAGCAGGGCCCCTCTCGACTCCCCAGCTAAACGGCTCCACGGTATTATATGGGAGTTTCCGAAAATTAGGGGTACCTTTTTGGGGGGTCCTCAATAAGGATCCTACTATTTAAGGTTCTATATTAGGGTCCTTCATTTTCGGAAACTCCCATAGGGGTAGTTATGATGCCTGCTTGGGTACCCTAAATATTAGGTGCCGTTATAACAAGGACCCAAAAAGGGACCCAATACTGACAACCGCCCTGCTATGGTCCCTTTTGGGGTCCCTATTATAGTACGGCACCTATTAGTAGGGTACCCAAAAAGGAACCCTAATTTTGACAACCACCCCTATAGGCCTATAGGAGTTTCCGAAAATGAGGGACCCTAATATAGTACCCTTCATAGTAGGATCCTTGTTATAGGGACCTCCAAATAAGGTACCCCTAACTTTCGGAAACTCCCATATAGATTAGAAGGGGCCCCCACCCTGTAATAGTGGCAAAATAGGAATATAATAGGGCCCCAATATAATCCTTATAGTCACTATTACAGGGTGGGGGCAGCTTCTAACATATAGATCTTGACATTCAAAACCCCACGTCGAGGGCGTGCTGCTGTCAAGCGGACAGGCGCCGCTGTCCATTGCAGAGGGTAGGGCAGGTTTTGTGGACACCAAAGCATGGGTTTCGGGTTTTAGGGTTTTAGGGTTTTAGGGTCTAGGGTTTAGGGTCTAGGGTTTAGGGTTTAGGGTTTTAGGGTCTATAGGGTTTAGGGTTTAGGGGTGTTCATGTTTTCTTCATAGTGCTTCCACAGGGTAGTGCTTTACGTCGCAATGTAATTGGCACCTAAGATCTTCGACTGTCTTGCTGGGTTTCGAAGTTTCATTGACGGGGAAGGATGGTAAGTTTGGGGTCACGGCTGGTTTAGCTGGATGTATGCCTACAGTTGTAGCTTTCCGAATTCGCCCCTGGTCCCATATATACCGATTGGAGTGCGCAACCACACTCTGGCAGGGTGGCCCAAGGCCCTGCCGACACCTGAGCCATATTATCTCTGTAGCTGAAGCACGAAGCCTGTCCAAAGCGAGCACTTTGCACAGGCTCTCGGTTCATCAAGAGCGCTTCCTCGCGTGTTGTGATTGTGCTGGGCCCACAGTGGACCCACAATATTTCGGGCAGGAGGAGTCACGACTTGAATATGTTGAGGGTGCTGGGTTCGATTCGACGCTGGGATTTCAGCACTGAGCGAGAGTCTCCGTGGCCTTCAGAGCGGGGTTCGGGCTGCACGTGATTTCAATTCTTCTGTTTTTTCTAGTACTAGTCATCCCCCTGATCAGGCTGTACTACCCGATACGACTGTCGACCAGCTGGTCCAGAGGGTCAAGATTCGAATACAGCGCAACACTCTGACTGTCATATTGTGGTCGTGTGCCATCACACACATGATGCAGAAACCTGCGAATCCGGCCAAAGTACGTAATTCCAACCAACCCACATGCTGAGACACGTATTCGGGCATTTGTGAACATCAACATGGCCCGGTTGAATTTTGCCTGACGCGAGACTTGTCGGTCTTTCAGGGACCTGAAAACACAGAGATGTTCATGCGAGTTTGAGTTTCGTGCCCTTGGCCGAATAGATGCCTTCTTTATCTGGCGGCTCTCATCGTCCAGAAATAGGTGCTTGGTGGTCAGCCACAGAAGTGATCGATCTTATGTTCTTCCACAATTCGGATCTACAAACAGCGTTCTTCAAGTCGCGAGCTCGTACCTGTAACGCGCCCTGAAAGCATCAGAAATCCTGCACCCCGAACGCTAAAACCCTGCAAACTGCAAGCCCTAAACCTGAAAGCTGAAAACCCCCAAACCCCAAATTTTAGTTTACCTTTGGTTAGTAGGGAATGGAGGAATGGGGTACAATTATAACTACTATTACTACCATTCTTCCATTCCCCACTAACCCCACCCTAAATTTGGGCCTCTTTTGCGACTCCGTGACTCCAGTTCTTCCGACTTCTCGCGGGCTCGGGAGACTGCGCAAGTCTTTGCGAAGACCTTGCGGAAGGTGGGAAGGGTCGGTTCAAGTGCTTTGGTAGTGAGAGCAAGCCGTATGGGTGGTTGTCAAATTTATGGTCCCTTTTTGGGTCCCTATTACAGTACGGCACCTAATATTTAGGGTAATTACCCAAAAAGGGACTCTAATATTGACAACCACCCATATCTACCGGCGTTTATGCAACTACGTAAGGCGGATTGTGTATATATTGGTTGTTTACTTCTTTCTCTAGTCTTGTATGTAGTTGTTCATGAGGGCGAGAGGGAGGCAGGGACGGAGGGAGGGAGAGGGAGAGAGTGGGCACTAGTGTGTACACTTACAGTCAACAATGTGATGTGTTAGGAGCTGCCCCCACCCTGTAATAGTGGTATAATAGGAGTATAATAGGGCCCTAATATAATCCTATATAATCCTTATGGTCACTATTACAGGGTGGGGGCAGCTTCTAAGTGATGTGTTTGCAATGCCTGAGAGGTTCTGAGGAGAGTGAACGGGAGGTTGGCCGTTACTGCAGGTTCCAAGTGGTTTCGTTGCTTGCAGTCCTTCCCTATACAGTAAAAGCCAGAAAGTTGGAATATGATGATCCTAAACCCTTTATGGTAAATTATAGGGTATCCTACCCTGAAACCATATTCCAACTTTCTGGAGTTTCCTATAGAGACCCTGAACTCTAACCGTCTAACCCCTAGCTTTATCCCCAAGCCCTGAACCCTAAACCATGCATGAACCCTACCTTAACCCTGAAGGACCTACCTTGTTAAGGACTTATATAAGGAAATCATAATAAGGAACCCTAAAACGGTAGGTTATTCAGGGTTAAGGTAAACCCTGAACCCTGAACCCCGCCAAGAAAACCAACCCGATCGAGCCGGAGCGCCGCAAAGAACGCTCGAAAGCTGCGAGAGGCCGGCCTGACATGTCCGGTGCGACTCTCGACGGCGCTTCGTGAGAGGCTGCCGCCTACAGAAATTAGGTTTTATAGTAGTTTTTAGTTGGGACAGGGTTATAGATAGTAGTTATAGATTAGAATCATCTATAGGGTCAGGATGATATATAGTACTTCTTGGTTATGCAAGGCCTTGGTTTGGTTGGCGCAGCCTGTCATCTTTCAGCTTTGCAACAACCGGATTTCGAAGCCTCCGACCCTTTTTTTCCTGGCAGGCGCTTTGGCTCTCTGGAAGGCGGCAGCGACAGCCGCTACAACGAGGCTGGCGCTTAGTCATCCCCATGGCCTTGTCTCGAAAGACGCCTCAGACTCGAAACACCTCCTTGTCCGCGATCCCGTTTCTCGGTTCCGTGAGCCCCAATATCCAACACAAACTCCCCGAAAACTGCCTTCAATAGTAGGATCCTTATTACAAGGATCCCCCCAAAAATAAGGTGCCCCTAGTTTTCGGAAACTCCCATACTGTATCAAGGCTCTGAGCCTTCTCACCGAGGTTTGGTCCAAGGATAGGCGCAACGCTGCGGCTCGGCCCTTTGGGGCGGAGAGCGCAAAGGACCGAAATTCCTTGGCGTGGGAAGGTTTCGCTTGGGATTCGTAGGATATACCAGTACCCAAAGGCCCCAAAGTAGTTCCTTTTTGGGGTTCGAAAAAAACCCTATAAGGTACTCCCAAACAGGAACTACTTTGGGGCCTATGGGTAATCAGACTCTTGGAGAGGACGCAAGTCCAGGGTTTTCGTGGTGGACAGTTCCTGTTAGCTTCGGGCTTTGGGTTGCTGAACTTCAATACTTAGGGGTACTTAGAAATACTTTTTAATTTTTGGGTATTATAATCCCTAAGAAACAGCTAAAATTATAATTCAGTATAGAATATGCAGGAGCTAAAATTGTAATTCAGTATAGAATATGCAGGAGTTTGGAGTCGTTGGTGGGCATTGATGGGCACCACGGCCATTCCAGCTACGATTTCGGCTTTTCTTTTCAGTTTGACAGTCTGGACCTCTGCGGGATATTCGCAGTGCGTGAGAAAGTGCTTTTAAGGGTGCTGGGAGGGCGAAGCTCTCGCATGGCTCAGTATAGACAAAGTTGAATCAAGTGCACTTTTCCCAGATTGATGAAGACATAGAAAGGCCAATTACACCTCAGCAGCTGCAGAACCGCAAACCTCAGTAGGGACTGAGATCTGAAACCCGATACCCCGACAAGCATCCACGCCTGAGCCCTTCAACCACTACTTAGGTGTACTTTGAAATATTTTTCATTTTGGGTTATTATAATCCCTAAGAAACAGCTAAAATTAGAATTCTTGCTAGGGTTCTAAGTTCAGTATAGACTACCTGCGCCTTCGGTGTGAAGACACGGCGCAGGCAGTGCAGATGCGGACTGCCAAGCTCGTATCAAGGTCCGGGGGGCAGTTCGGAGACAGGCTCGAAACTTTCCAAACCCCCCTAGACCCCCTATAATGAAGCCCAACAAGGTAGGGATATCCCTATAAAATGCTTATGCTTATGTGCGTTTTGGGCCCCTAAAATCCCCTGCAAATCCGTAAACTCTAGTCGTGGGAATCTAGAGCTCTGACTGGTCTGCAATGTTGTACTGGTATGTAACCCCGTCGTCCCGACAAGACACTTCCACTACAATGTGCCAAACCCTATTGAAATTCTTCAGGTATAAAGGTACGAAATTCAATCATGAACCCTGTAGCAACTCTGCAACCCTAAAACCCGAATAAACCCCATACCACGCCCGTGCACAACCCTGAACAACAACAACCACAACGAGAGCCCACGCTTTGCCAGTCTGGACCGTGACCTTCCTGACGGCGCTGATGTGGCGCCCCTCCTGCCAGAGCTTCGGGTGCTAATATTATAGGGGCCCACACTACACGTATTCCTTAGGGTTTAGGGCACTAGGCGCTTATAAGGCTCGGGGCGTCCATAAAATTTAGGCTTTTAGGTTTGAGGGTTTGGGGTTATCTGGTGGTTTAGTCCTTTAATTTCAGGCTTCAGGTTGCCATTACCCACAGGCCCCAAAGTAGTTCCCTTGTTGGTCGAGTTGTATAGGTATTGTTTAGTCCTCCAGGCTCTTCGCATTTTCCCCGGTGGCTTTGGGAGGGTAGAACTCCTTGGAATGCTTCTCGACTTGCGGTTTTTGGAAACCTAAGGGTGATTTTGTTCGCTGTGTATCCGCATCGGATTCTGCGATGTTGGAGGTTACACCGGTATGGCTTAAACAAACACCACTCCAGGAGGCACTTTGCTGCCTATAGAAACAGAGCATGTGGACTCGCAGCTTTTTCTCCGGAATCCGACCTTAAACCCCTAAACTCTAAACCCCCAAAAGTAGGTAAAATAATGGCCCAAAACCTATAACAGGCTATTATTCTACATACTTCTGGGATCCAGGTAAACTCTGAACCCTAAGCCGCAAGACGAGGTGCTCGTGTCCCATGGAGATGCCCTGCAAATCCTGCAAACGGCGTTTCAGGCCTCGTTTCGCAGCTGTGCCTTAGAAGCTGCCCCCACCCTGTAATAGTGGTATAATAGGAATATAATAGGGCCCTAATATAATATTAGTATAATCCTTATGGTCACGATTACAGGGTGGGGGCAGCTTCTAAGCTGTGCCTTTTTATCCCTTGACCCCCTAGGGTTTTGGGTCTAAGGTACCCATAGGCCCCATTGTAGTTTCTTTTTGGCATTGGGGTTACCTTATAGGATGCTATATACGAACCCCAAAAGGGAACTATTTTGGGGCCTTAGGGTAGTTTAGGGTCTATCGGGTCCAGTTTAGAGGTTTGGGGGTTTAATCAGGGATCTGCCCTATGCCCCGACGAGGATGGTCATGCGGCCACCGTAAGCTGTTGCACTTCAACAACCAAGAGAGCGTAAGCAAGCCCGATGTCAACTTCATAACCAACTGTGAACAAGCTGCAAACCGATGCTTGCTTTTGAACACCTTCTTTTTGTAGCAGACCTTGGGGAAAACTCTACCATGCTCCGGAAGATAAGAAGGCCAAATGTGTGTTTGTAGCGATGGCTGCTGCGTGCTGGCACATATGCTTATACAGTATAAACAGTCCGAAACTTTCTATGACCACAAACAATCACCCTGAGCAGGGACATCCTTGAACCTTATAGATCCCAGGCTTATAAACCCCCCGAGTTCAAGCCTTGAACTCACACTGCATCTCCCTCTGAGCACCAAGCTTGAAGGATAGAACCCTACAGAGACTCCAATACCATACCCCTTAATTAAGGAATATACCTTAAAGTATAGTAGGATCTTTAATATGATTTAAGGAATATTCCTTAATTAAGGGGTATAGGAGTCTCTGGGAACTTACGTGTCCAGTATAGCTTCCGTGCTCACGGGAGAGGCAACCATAGCTTTCTGCATGGTCCGAGCAATCCCCACCGCTTGGACATAGGCGAAGCATGCTCTGAGCCAGCTCCGGTGCCCCAGTACCCTTTTGCCCGATGTTATAGGTTTGTTTTTTGGGTTTAGGGTTTAGGGTTTAGGGTTATAGGTTTGTTATAAGGTAAAAGCCAGAAAGTTGGAATATGATTATCCTAACCCTTCTATGGTAAATTATAGGGTATCCTACCATGAAACCATATTCCAACTTTCTGGAGTTCCCTGTAGGTTTGTTTTTGTTAAGCAGGTTCGAGAAGAGCTTCTACATGGAATTGATTTTCATCCCCGCTGGCCCTCCAGGCCACAACGAAGCGGGAAGCACTACTACGTAAGCCGAAGCCTACCGTGCGACAAGATCGCGCAACTGCGACAAACCCTAAACCCTGAGTTTGATCCCACTTAACCCTCTAAACCCTAAGCCCTAAACTTAAACCCTTGAAAAGAGCGCTCAAAAAACAAACTTGAACCCTTAACCACCAGCCCTCAATCCACAACCACTGCGCGAAGCCCAGCCGCCAGGGGATTTCTGCCGCTTCCCATCGCTCCCTGTCCCACCTGGATCGCGCAGAGCTGCGCGCACTGAACCCCTGAGGTTCAGGAGTTTAGGGTGTACCTGGACCCGAATCCTACCTTTTTTAGGGTTCCTTATTATGATTTCCTTATATAAGTCCTTAAAAAGGTAGGTCCTTCAGGTCAGGATTTTGGAGGGGGCAGACAAATTTCATCGGAAGACTTCAACGACTGCTTGGAACTGACAGCCGTCCACTTTAGTTAACACTCAGAACTCAGAACCCAGTCCGATCGCACGTCCGGGGTAGGTCCCATTTCTCCCAGTTCTACACCGGGGCCAAACCCTCGACATGTCCGAGTGCTCGATGGTCGCGCCTGCAAAAAAGTCAGGCCGTGAATTCACCGAATGCCTCCAATGCACGCGCCTCTGTCTGTCTATCTGCATTTGCTGCCGTTTTTTATGTGTGCATCCAGGTGTATCTCAGTCCCCATCATGCTACATGAGCCCTGTATGTGCACAAAAACGTGCATCATCGTGCACCCATGGGAGTGTACATGTTTGTGTGTGAGCATCAGCATGCATAGTTACATGCATGAATGCTGGACATTGCTTGTCAGATCTCAGGCAAGTCAAAGGGAATTGCGGTCCTTAAACCCTGACCCCTAAACCCTATCCAAACTTATGCTCCTAAGAAACGACCAAGCCACCTCCGTCCAATGGTTTAAATTCCGATCGGGGGCTCCTTGCGGCAGTCTGTCAAGGTTTAGGGCTTCAGGGTCTTAGGGTGCTGGGGTTTAGGGCTTAGGGTCTCGGGGCTTATGCGGGTGTTCAGAGTGCAGATCACAGGCTGAACATAGAGGTCGGGGAGGCGTGTTTCCCTAACCCGTGTATCCCGAGCCTTCACTTTTTAGTCAGGCCTCCTTTTGAACGACCCTTATAACAAGCACAGCTCCCTCCAGACAATAACATTTCTGTTGTTTGCTCATGTATCATTGCTGTTTCGAAAATTTGGCTCAGCGCTGCCGCGGTGACCCAGACCGAGCCCGAAGGACTTGCGTGTTCCCGACCTAGCGGGCTCATATGTCCGTAGTTCTTACCTAAACCCCCAAAAGTAGGTTAAATAATGGCCCAAAACCTATAACAGGCTATTATTCTACATACTTTTGGGGTCCAGGTATGGTTCCGTATTCTTCTGACAGTTTGAACTCTGAACCTTCGCTTCCTGCAGTGTGGGGGAAGCAGAAGAAGCCGGGTACCCCTACCAGGCCCTCACCCCCAAAGCACCTCTTGCCTCGAAGCCCCTTTTTTGAGGGCCTAGGATTGACTGTCACAATGGCTTCCGTGGATGTGCCCGTGCCGGATGAGCGCGAGATGCCCAAGGACGGATCTCCCAAGGACCAGTGGAGCCTTTCAGCTTCGAAGGCTTTTCTTACCTTTGGTTAGGTCTATAAGGGTTACTATAAGGGATCTATAAGGGTACTATAATATAGGGGCCTTAACAATCCTATAGCTTACCTTTGGTTAGTAGGGAGTGGAGGAATGGGGTACAATTATAACTACTATTACTACCATTCTTCCATTCCCTACTAACGAAAGGTAAGTTTTCCAGAGTGTAGGGTTCTCCGGGTTGTTGAGCCTGTGCGGGGTGCCACCCCGCAACGAGTAGCGCTTTCTGTGTTTTGGGGTAGAAGGTTTAGGGTTAAATCAAGGTTCAAGCGTGCGCCATACGCATGGCGTGCTTCGTGAGCGGGCACGAGGCTTCAAGCATACCCGCCCCAACTTAGACGCCTTCAGCCTCAGGCCTACCCATAGGCCCCAAAGTAGTTCCTTTTCGGGGCTCATATATAGAATTCTATAAGGTAATCCCAAAAAGGAACTACTATGGGGCCTATGATAGGCCTATGGGTAGTGTTTAGGATCAGCTGGCCTCGTAGCTGAGAGCATGGACCGGAACTTTATGGTTCTCCCCGCCATGCCCTGTGTTTTACTTGGGAGCTTGACGAGGTAGAGGAGCCTAACATGAACGCTAAACCCTGAACCCCGAAACCCTACACCCTGAACCCCTAAACCCTAAACCTAACATGAAGCCTTAAATCCTAAACCCTAAACCTAACATGAACCCTCATAGTGATTCGCAAACAGCAGCTAGAAGCTCTAAAGTCCCCAAACTTTTGGGCTCCTAGGGTTCAAGATACCCTGAACTCCTGTGTGTCTTAAGAACACAGCCTAAACCCTCAACCCTAAACTCTAAACCCTTAACCCTCAACTCTAAACCCTATACTCTAAACCCTAAACCCTAAACCCTAAACTAAACGCCCTAAACCCTAAACCCTCAACTCAAGACTTGTTCAAGAGCCCGGACCCTCAAACCTAGGCCTGCTAGAGCCCGAAGCCCTCTTTGCTCTGAGCCTTCCCCCGGCCTCAAAAGAACTCTATAGCACCTGTTCAAAACTTCCTAGACCCTACATCTAGTAGATGGAGGGTCTTCCAAGGGAAGCCGTGAAGCCTTAATTGCCTCAAGGCTTCAATTGTCAAGGCTGGAAAAGTGAAAACAATCCTAGACCCTCCATCTACCCTCCATTAGACCCTAAATGCCCCTTTTTGGGGGCCATATACCCCTATTTGAGGGTACAAGGAGGGTCCTGGTTTTCTACGATCCGCAAGACTCCCTCATCGCTAAAGATCCTGAAAACCCCCTGTAAAACTTCAAGACCTCGCCAACCCTCTTGCCGGGGCTTTTGGGTCATTGGACCCTCTCGGCTTCTTGTGGGGCCAGAGGGCACTTAGAGCCAAAGGTTGAGGAGTTGAAAGCTTCAGGGTTTGGGGCTTTTGGGGCTTGAGGTAAGGATCTATCTGGGGTGGGGCAGTTTGGAGTTTTTAGGGTTTGAGGTCGACGAGTTTAGGGCTTTGGGGTTTGGAGTTGAAGTGTCGCGGGAACCGAAGCCCTAAGCAATCTTAGGCACCGTATGAACCTACGGCAGCTGCCAAAAAGCCCCTAAAGACAGAGGTTTCAGCAAAATAAAGGCCATACTGAACCCTAGAATTACAATCACCCCAGACCCTATACTAACCCGACACCCTAAACCCTAAACCCTAAACCCTAAACCGATAGCCTATACCAGAAGTCACTGCACACACACACACACAGAGAAAAAATCAGGGTGGAGACAGTTCCGAAGAAGCACCGGGAGCCTTGAGCTGCAGGATGTGGCAGAGCCTGCGGAGATGGAAGATACAGCAGCTTAGCCCGACTCTGGGAGCTTACCTAAACCCCCAAAGGTAGGTTAAATAATGGCCCAAAACCTTAAAAGGGCTATTATTCTACATACTTTTGGGGTCCAGGTGGTTCTATAATCTTACCTTTGGTTTGTAGGGAATGGAGGAATGGGGTAGAATTATAACTGCTATTACTACCATTCTTCCATTCCCTACTAACCAAAGGTAAGTAGCTCTTCAGGGGATTCAGGCTTTGAGATTTTACTCGTGTCCCTGCCTGCCTGCCTGTCTGTTTGTTTGCTTGCTTATTTATTGGAGGAAGAGTTTTTGATGTACGCATACATAGATTTATTCCGTGTGTTTGATCTTTGATGTTTATTGTTGCTCTTGTAGGAGTTTCCGCTTCTTGAGGATTTCAGGGTTAAGCGGATCCCTATTCTAATTAGTATAAGCCCATTGTAGTACTCTCTTAGAAACTTGTGGCTGATACGGCAGCGGTCGGAATCGTGAGAATCGGGCGTTGGGGGTATATAGTAGTTTGATTACATAGGGGCGATACGAGAATCTCGTTCGATACCTATATTCCGATCCAAAAGACGGGGCAACAGGGGGGTACCAGTAGCAAGCAAAAAGGGGCTGCGATGGGGTGCAGCCGGCAGTAGTACTCAATGTGTTTGACTGTCGCCCGTTATGCTTGCTTGTAAACAACCTTAACCCTGAAGGACCTACCTTTTTAAGGACTTATATAAAGAAATCTTATTAGGGAACCCTAAAAAAGGTAGGTTATTCAGGGTTAAGGAAAACCCTGAGCCCAAGGCCTCACTGCTGGAAATGCTGAGGTCCAACAGGTGGCAGTTTGGATGACTGAGCTGGACGTCCTGCATGAAGGCGCATAGTTAAAGGATCATGGGACTTAGTAACTAGGGTTATAATTAAGGTAACTGTACTTATACTCACTAACACCAATTAAGGTGCTTATAACCCTACTTACTAAGTCCCCTGATCCTCCAAGTAGTTGGGGTTGATGAAGCTCGCGGCTCATGACAGGCTAATGGGCTTCCGTGAAAGGTGGTGCATTTGCCAGATTTCAAGTTTCAAGGCCTTTGGACACTGCGAGAAGCTCTGGAGGCTTCACCAATCAATGCTTTCCTGTTCGGTTCTCTGCATAAAAGAACCGCACTTAGTCCCAATACAGCCTGCTGCCCTCATCCAGAGCTTCGGATGGCCCGAAACCCTAAACTCTAAAACCCTCCACCCCTTCTGCTACATCCTCAGCACTTCGCATTACTGGTGAAGCAGACAGAAGCATAATCTGAGCAAAAGGCATGTGTAGGTTTCGGGGTTCAGCCCCGGTTTGAAGAAACTCAGTTACTACAACAAACTATGTACTACAACACCATATACAATATGTTTCAACATACTATAGGGGCCTTAATAATTACTCATACAAGTTTGGGGGCTCCTTACTAGAATGTTAGCATAATGCGCCCCAAAACCCCAGTCTAATCATTTAGCCCCCCCCATCTCCGAAACCCTAGTCTGTTTTTTTGGGGCCCCTATATGGCCCTATATTAAAAGTTCCTTATAGTAATCCTTATATCTAGACCCCTTTAATAAGGAGCCCCTATATTTGTCCCCTTCCTTGTTCTTCGGAGGCATCCTCCGCTTCGTCCACGCACACAAGGCCCTGCGGCGTTTCGGCCATGCACTGCGAGGACGGGTTCAGGAGACCTGGCTCTCAGGGGGTTTAGGGTTTAATTAGGGTTTAGGGTGTGGGGGTTTTGGGGTTTGTGGTTTGGAGTGGTTTGGGAGTTTAGAGCTTGGGTTAGAGGTTTGGGCTTTCAGGTTTAGGGACCAGGCTTGCGTGTAGAGGATTCGGTGTTCAGCTTCCTTCCGGAGTCTTGGACCTTGGGCCTCTGCCACATGGTCTAGGACCCAGAGTAAGCCCTTATTCCCTTTTTTAGGGTTCTGGTTCCCTTATTAAGCCCCTTCACACCAAAAGGGCACCCTTTTTATTCCTAGGTTACTCTTGGGTCTAGTGGTCCTGGTATTGGAACAGCTTTCTCGGGGTTTCCGGTGTTGAGGGTCTGGCAGCGCCCTTCTGGGACAACTTGAAGGTCATTTTGCATGCAACTTTCAAGCCATGAGTCCGAAAAACTGGGACCTGTTTAGTTCACTTGTGTTGGATGTTGTGGCTGGTGTTGTCGATATAACGTTTTTCACATGCACTCTTCGAAACAAGCTTGCGAGTTGGAAACCTGTAGAGCAAAGGTGCAAGCCAAAACAAATCTAGAGTCACTGCAGAGCACATGCCGGGCCAAGTACGGATGGAATATCCCGCCTCTGCTGCAAATCACAACAGCACGAAATGTCTGACGATCTAACTGTCTATTTGTTTGTCCATCCATCTATCTATCTACCTCCCTGTCTACATACCGCGCGAGTTGTCTATCTATCTAACTATCCAGCTGTCTACCTCTATCTGTCTATCTATCGATGTATCTACCTACCTAGCTGTCGATATCTGAGGGAGGACGGCAAAGTGAAAGCTACTCATATACGCGGTGTACATTTAAAGGCAGAGCATCACTGGTTCAGGAGGCAACATTCAGCCTGCTTAAGGTTCAGGGTTCGATAACCTGGAAAACAAAACCCAACATTCCTCGACTGCCCCTGGACTCAAAAAACCCTTAAACCCGCCGCAGCCTCCAACGCAAAAGCGAGAGAGAGGGAGAGAGAAAGATAGAGAGAGATCAGGCTCGGGTCGTTCTGTTGTTTTGCACCCCCACCCCTCGCTGCACACCGAGAGCGCAATCAGTGAACACCCTCCTCCGTTTTGACTCCGATAGTGCACGCAACCCTGCTCTACTCGTTTCTGCTTACTCTACTACTACTACTACTACTACTACTACTACTACTACTACTACTACTACTACTACTACTACTACTACTACTACTACTACTACTACTACTACTACTACTACTACTACTACTCTACCTACTCGTTCTTGCTCACCCTAGAGACCCCGAAGCTTTCTCCCACAACCCTCTCGAAACCCTGCAGCTCAGGACAAGGCCGCTCTTTATGCCCGCAGCACGCAATGCCGGGACAAGGCAACTGTGCTTCTTAGGGCTTAGGATTTAGGGTATAGGGTTTAGGGTTTAGGGCTTAGGATTTAGGGGTATAGGGTTCTCAAGAAGAGCCGAAGGTTCTTGGGATTTGAAGAGCAATTGGGAGTTTCCGAAAATAGGGGACCCTATTCTAGATTGAAGTGTTGCCGGGCTTAAGCTTAAGCTTTTCGGTTTCGGGATTAGGGGACAGATTTCGGCTTTAAACCCGGGATCTTTATGGCTGAGTTTAGCTTGCTCTGCTTTTGTCAGCTTCAAAAGTGTAGGTTCGCCGTTTGCGTGCATTGATGTCTGTCGCTCGAAGTCATCGAACAGTTGCCAAGATTATGCTTTCGGGATCCTTACTAGCATGACTGTCATTACTATACTACAAGATATCCCAAAACGCTGTTCTGTTCTGATGTCCATGTGTAGATCATTGTGCCGCTCTCAGCCGCCTCCCGTGAAGACAGTATGACCCTGACGATACCCTGAGCGCTATAATTAAGCCCTAGATCCTATCTCATCCCTAAACCGTAAACCCTAAAATCCTAAACCATAAACCCTATACCCTAAACCCCAACCCTAAACCGAAAAGAGATCCCTAAAGTCCTATCTCTTCGAAGGGTCGGGGGGTCACATCGAGAAGCACCGGGGCTTGGGGCTTCAAGCTATCTGCTTCCTGGCCAAACTTCGGGTGCAGATGATGAGATATGCGGGGTGGGACCTCGTAGCTACTTTAGGACCGTTTAAGGCCTCAGGGTGTAGCGCTTCCGAAGGGGTTTGATGCAGGAGAACATCGACGAATTCTGGTCTCATTCCTGGCAGCAGGCTGCCTGGAGACAGGGTCGCAATTTGATTTCGTCTTTTGTTTGGGCAGAGATCCGTGATTGGTGATGCTGCAAAAGCAGCCTACAAACAAGAAACCATCTACCTAGTGATCATGATCGGATTAAGTGAAAGAGAGTCAATCCCCGGCATCGCCTTCGGCGTTGATGTTTACAGCATGCTGCGAGAACCTAATCGAAGACAGAAACCCTGACATGTAAACCTTCTTCCGATGGTTTGCTCACACAGCGTAGCCAAGGAGAAAGGTTCTCTGCCTTCTGTTCTTGAAGAATGGCATCGCTGCTGCGGGAATTGGCAACTCGGTACGAAGGAAGTTTTAATCCTAGCAACCAGGACCGAGGAGTTGTCTTCATTATCGTTTGCTGTTTTTCTGCATTAGAATCTTTAGCTCATGATTTCAACAGCATGTCGAAGGCTGCAGTAGTTCATGCTCAGGGTTGCTTCGCGTCTTCGATCTGTTGAGCCCTGCTGCAGAAATCCTGGCAGAGTCAGGAGCTTTCTGTGGGCTCCGCCGTGCTACTGTTCAGGATCTACGGTAGTATGGTTACAAAACCCTGGCCATCCATCGGAGACTCCCATCTCCACCCTCAGCCCTCAATCGTCATGGCTGATCAGGGCACCAGGTGCTCGGAGTCTCAAGTCCCAGCGGATCACAAGCGCAGTGCTGCAGAACCCAAACGTCCGAAGCCCTATAAATCCTGTGGGACGGATCACCTGAAGGGCACCGAATGGCGTCCTTTCCGAATACTTCGTCAGGTGGTGTTCTGCTTCTTCTAACCAGTGCAGGGGAGCTGGGGGTGGAGGCCGACTCTTTCTCACGCTCGATGTCGTGTTATCCTGATTTGTCTTTGCACCTAAACCTTAGCAGATCTGGGTGTCAATGCTCTCGTTCAACCCGAAGTTAATCGAATCTCCTAAACCTGGCACAAATCCCAGGTTCCCTCCTGTCCTTGCTCGGCTTCCTGCTATCCTTCATGCAGGCAGCGGTGTCGGGAAAGTGCGCGGACGATCAAAATTTGCAGTCAACATTGCGACCATCGAGAGGTAGCGCTGGAATTTCAACTCTGTAGGACTGTCGATATGCAGCATGCATTGGAGTCATTCACAGCATGAATATATGTGTGAGTACCAGTGTAGTAGCAGAAGCAGTGCAGTCGTCGTCGTTGTCGTCGCAGTAGTCGTCGTCGTCGTCGTAGTAGTAGTAGTAGTAGTAGCAACAGGAGTAGTATTAGGAGTAGTACGTATAGTACAGTAGTAGTAGTAGTAGTAGTAGTAGTAGTAGTAGTAGTAGTAGTAGTAGTAGTAGTAGTAGTAGTAGTAGTAGTAGTAGTAGTAGTAGTAGTAGTGGTAGTAGTAGTGGTAGTGGTAGTGGTAGTCGTAGTGGTAGTGGTAGTGGTAGTGGTAGTGGTAGTGGTAGTGGTAGTGGTAGTGGTAGTGGTGGTGGTAGTGGTAGTGGTAGTGGTAGTGGTAGTGGTAGTGGTAGTGGTAGTGGTAGTGGTAGTAGTAGTAGTAGTAGTAGTAGTAGTAGTAGTAGTAGTAGTAGTAGTAGTAGGAGTCGTCGTCGTCGTAGTACCAGTCGTACTGGTAGCGTAGGCAGCTTGCCCCATTGTGCTGCGGGATACTGCGCAGACATGCGTAGCTTAGCGAAGGCTCTACTAGGATGAGAACCGCCCACACAGCAAAAAAGCACAGCTCATATGATCCCCCCATCGCCTTCCATGTCAGAAGCCCTACAAACACGCTGGTTATGCTTCGAAATCTCTATGAGGATCTGTCAAGAGTTCCCTATAAACCCATAAATTGACCCATCAGGCCAGGAGAAGAATCCGCAAGAATGACATGATTGAAACCGTATCAGAACATGGAGTAACCAAATTCAGGTCTTGCCTTCGTCCTTCGGCTTTGGTGGAAATGCCCCTCGGCAGATTGGGGAATGAAAGCTGTAACGAAGTTCTAAGGTTCTAGAAGGGTTCTACGGTTGATGATATAAATCCTGCATTACCTTAAGGACCCTATCCTGTGGGATTTATGGTATGTTCCTTATTATGGGTCATGCAGGATTTATATCATCAACCGTACATCGGTTCTCAGGTGTTTCGCATTTTGGGGCATTGCAAGGTTTCGCGCTTCACCTCGTCTTGTAATCACGGGCTTTCGGGGGTTGGGTAGCCTGCATGCACCTCCCTGACTTTAGACCCTGAACCCTCTAAGCCTGTAGAGCCTAAACCCGATAGACCCTATAACAGTTCCCCCAAACCCGAGGGCCTAGAAACCCTGCTCAATCACTATTACACCCCACAAGCCCTCAAGCCTACAACCCTAAACCCCTAGTAGAGGGGGCATGGGCCGAATCCCAAGAGCTTTCCTTACGGCTTTTCGGTCCCCTTGCAAGCTTTTTGAATTGGGTTTCGGGCTTGGGGTTCGGTTTAGGGTCTTGTTGTGGGGTTGGAGGGTTTGGAGCTGACTCGGATTGTTGGGGGTTCTTCGATAGAGAGACTCACAATCGCAGTGTAGCTACAGAGGTTCTTTACTACGACTTAAGGTGCGCTTGCAGACTTGAGTCTTTGTCAGAGTTGTCGATCTTTCATGTCTTTGGGTCTTAATAAGGCATAAGTTTCGATACGCGGGTTCTTGGAAATGGGTTTTGTGGCGCATTGAGAATGATCCGTGTAAGCTATTTCAGATCAACCAGTTAAAGCCCAGGTGTCTTTCTGGAGTACTGCCTTTGGTGTTGTCGGCTATCTGGCTGCTCTTGTAAAATGGCCTCACTCGGCGTCCTGGACGGCAAGATGTTCATTTCAATGGCGGGTTCTGCTGAACCTCAAGCCCCGAAACCCCAGTCGCGACCCCTTGCCTTAGAGTTTAGACCAGCAAGTAAGCCTTCAGAATTGGTTTTGTTGATGGCAGGGTCTGATCAAATATGTTGTTATACGCAAGTATGGCCGGGGATCCGGATTCCGAAGAGCGCACATGCGCAGACCTGTCAGACCTATCAAACATGTGGAGAGTCCTGCATGGTTGTGGATGAAGAAGGACTTATGGTGTGTAGCTAGTCGTGCAGGTTTTCCGCCGGCATCACCTTTGAACCCACGTAAACCCTAAACCCGGAACACGAAAGCTTGAATCCTAAACCCCAAGCGGGCGGACTCTCCGCTTCAGGACAAGGTGTTCCTCGATGTATGCTGCATACACCAAGGACTGGGGTAAGTGCGACCCAAAAACCCTCAACCGCAAGCCCTGAAACCAACTCTACATCCATCCTAAACCCTGTAAACCCCAAATCAATCCTCAACCCCTTCAATCCCCAAATGCAATCTCAACCCCAAACCATACCTAAGCCCTAATCCCTACATTCAACCTTAAAACCCTACACCCTAAAAGCAAGCACATGTTTAAACCCCACAAACAGAACCCGAAAAAATGAAATCCAAACCCGGCGCTCAGACTTCAAAGTGCCTCAGAGCAGCACAGAGTGTATTTCAGCCATATGCACCCGAAGCAGCGCAAGGGAAATGAGTGCTTGCTTCCCTGAAACAAAGGCATCCAGGTAGTGATCAGAGAGCACCCAGCGAGGGGTCCTTGAAAGCCCATAGGGGTTTAGGGAAAGTTAAAGGCTCCAGGTTCAGGGTTTAGGGGTTTAGGGCTTTGGGTTGGGGCTTTAGAATGTCAGGCTTAAGGCACATGGGAGCGACGAAAATAGGGGGCCCTATTATAGCCCCCTACATAGTAGGATCCTTATTATAAGGACCCCCAAATATGGTACCTAATTTTCGGAAAATCGCGTGTAAGCTCTTCATCCTAGTCCAGGAGACTCACACATGAAGGCGGAGGGCATCCTCAGCATGGGAGGAGACTTATCCTTACCTGGACCCCCAAAGTATCTAGAATAATAGCCCTTTTATAGGTTTTGGGCCATTATTTTACCTACTTTTGGGGGTTTAGGTAGGGTTCATTGTGGGAACGTATGTTAAGGAGCTTTCGGTTAGAGCCCGGCAGAAAAGTATGATAGGGTTCATATGGGGTTCATATTATTATAGGCTGTACTGAGAAGCATGGTTTTTGTCATCAGGTTCCTAACATAGGGCCCTAAATAGCTACCTATACTATTTTGGGGGATTAATTGTTACAGGTATAGTATAATGGGCCCCCAAACCGTATTCTAATTATTCAGGCCCCTACATTACATCATCAGGGCTTTGGGTTCCACGATGTTTTTGCTTTCCTTAGTTCAGGCATGTTCTGTTAGGGTCAGATAGAGTTGAGTCTTCAAGATTGATGGCACAAGGGCTGGGGAATCTCGGATTCGGGCCTCAAGCTGCTGTTTCTTGGTCCAGCTTCTGGTTTGTGGTTTAGGGTTTTGAGCTCGAAGACCCTATTATGGCTGATGTTTAGGGTTTTGAGCTCGAAGACCCTACTATGGCTGATGTTTAGGGTTTTGAGCTCGCTATGGCTGATGTTTAGGGTTTTGAGCTCGAAGACCCTACTATGGCTGATGTTGGGAAGTGAAACATCTGAGGCAGTGTCATCCTAGGTTTTGCCTTCGCGGTTGAACAACGCTAGGTTCCCGTGGAAGTGTTCCAATCGTGTCGACCTCGTGCTTCGGGTGTGTTGAGTTTCTGGTTGTTGAGGGTCTCTGAGTTCCGGTTGATGACCATCATGGTGCAAGCTTCGATCATAGAACCCGAACCGAACCATGCTAGTTGGACGCCCGCTTACACCTTGAGCCCAGTCACCTGAAACTGTCAATCCCTGAGTCCTTCACCTGCAAGGCATTCTCCGGAGATCGAACCGCCTGCTGGTGCTTTGGGATGTGACATATGCGGAACGGCTGCTGGCCAGGAAAGTACATATGTGTTTCAGGGCCCTGTGCATACTGACCTTCATTGCACATACAGTTGCACACTCATATTTACAACCCCACCTCAGCTCACTGGTTCCTCCAGGCAGCACAGGGCTCGGGAATGCCGGGATCGTATGAATGTTGACAACCATGAGACTACTCCTAGCAAACCTAGGCAGGATGTTCTTCATAGCCACAGTAATAGACAGCCGTCCTTTATGATTCGCAACAAAGCCCGCTTGGAGACTCTAGTCGTTGTGCCTGGAGCCGGGTTGACAAGGATTACCCAGCCTGCCATGAATCGTGGCGGCAACAACAGCAAGAACAAGACGAGCAAGGAGAATACCGTCGCCAACAAGAATACCATCAGCAAAGGCCATAATGTCAACCTCCTATTAATAAACCCCCCCCTCCCCCCCCCCCCCTTGATTGATTTGGCGCCCGGGGTGGGGGGGATTGATTATTGAGGGGGGGGTCGGTCGTCGTAGTACAGTAGTATAGTATCACAGTACAGTAGTACAGTAGTATAGTACAGTAGCAGTGCAGTAGTAGCACAGCCTCTGAGTCCAGCTCTTCCGGCGGACAAGGCACGTTTGGTAAAGTACCAGCAATGAACAATGATCCTGCGGTCCTCTCCCTCCTCCTTTGAAAGCCGAAGCTTTCGCAAGCAAGGGCACGGCTGCTATAGGTAGGTTATTCCAATCAACGACTCTGCTCCCACAGCCTGCTTTTCTTTTGAATCCAGAGCTTTCCCAATGAAGGGCTTGGCTTGTAAAGCTTGCTGTCCTTTTCAAGGCCTTTAAAGGCACCACCAAAAGGCCCTCCTTGGCGGGAGTTTATAATTGAGGGGGTGTTTATAATTGCGAAGAACGGCCTTTGTTAGTACTCCATCAGGATGGATTGATTTTTGGCTCCGGGAATAAGGAACTTTATTAAGGAAGGCATGGTTTCTGAGGCCCTCTAAATCTGCGGTTTCGGAGTCCGGTGGCTTTGGAAGCTAAAGCTTTCCCAATGAAGGGCTTGGCTTCTGAAGCAAAAGGCCCTCCCCGGCGGGAGTTTATAATTGAGGGGGGTTTATAATTGCGAAGAACGGCCTTTGTTAGTACTCCATCAGGATGGATTGATTTTTGGCTCCGGGAATAAGGAATTTTATTAAGGAAGGCATGGTTTCTGAGGCCATCTAAGTCTGAGTAGCTGCAGTTTCTCTCTCTTTGCAGACCTGAAGCAGTCGTAGTAGTTGCAGTTTCTCTCTTTCTGCAGACTTCAAGCAGTCTTAGTAGCTGCAGTTTCTCTCTCTCTGCAGACCTCAAGCTCTCGCAGTAGCTGCAGTTTCTCTCTCTCTGCAGACCTCAAGCTCTCGCAGTAGCTGCAGTTTCTCTCTCTGCAGACCCCAAGCTCTCGTAGTAGCTGCAGTTTTTCTCTTTCTCTCTCTCTCTCTGCAGACCTCAAGCTCTCGTAGTAGCTGCAGTTTCTCTCCCTTTTTTTTTTTCTCTCTCTCTCTCTCTCTCTCTCTCTCTCTCAACCAACACACAACAACACAGAACAAGAAGTATCTAATTTCGGGGATTTGGGCCGGCAGGTTTTGTAATTGAGGGGGGGTTTATAATTGAGTTCCGGGGGTGGGGTTTTATAATTGAGGGGGGGTTTATAAAAAGTAGGTCAACATTAAGCAACATCTGCAACAGCACTGACATCCGCGGGGTTTATCGTCTCGACAAAGCGGGCTTCGACTGTAACGGCAACCATTATAGCGGATAGACATTGGACAGTCTTAGCAGTACATGTAACAAGGTTCCGACACTTGTTCCCGCCGTAAGGCCCGAGGGACTGCTGTGCTGAGTAGGTCCCCCTATAGCTGCTCAGCCATAGAGTGCCATGGCAGCGTGCGATGCAGCTGAGATTGCGCCGCCTACAAAAACTCATGCGCCCAGACAGACCGTTGCTGCAGTTGCTGCCGCGGCAGTGTCAGCTGTGTTTCGACCAGCTGGCATTGCGGTGGCCAACCAGTGTCAGTCCCAGGCGCCTGAGCTCCCACTGACCTGCATCGGTGGTGACGCGAGGAAGGAGCACGGCGCGAGGCCATTCGGGCCAAGCGTCGTCGCAAGCGCCAGCGAAAGACAGCAGCCAAGGCAGCGGTTGCATCTGACATGGACACGAAGGAGCCGACGGACACTACGCAGGTTGGGGCGGCAGGGGACGCTGCGACATTTGCTGGTGAGGTCACGACCCCCAGGAGGAGCACTGCGCCAGGTCGTTTCGAGAAGGGCGCAGGACCTACGCCCCCGTGCAAGAGACACTGTAGTGACCCGACTGAGGCTGCTGGCGAGGTGGAGGTGCACCGCCATCCGAGCGAGCTCAGTGTTGTTAGCGGTGCGACGGATTGGACGTGCTACACGCACTCTGAAGAGGGAACTGCGAGCCCTGTGGGCAAGAGCAGCCACAGTACTTGGGCCAGCACGGCCGGGTTGAGATTTGAACACAAGGACGACAAGCAGCTGCCGGCGGGGAGTGCTCCTCACGCTCCTCGTCATCCCTTGCAGTGAGGGGCGCCTCAGTAGCTTGGCTCAGGCTGCACGCTTGCGCTGGCCGCTTGAGGTGTGCTGTTTAAGCGAATTCGCTTGGGAGGCGATTGGGCTTCGCGCTCGGCCTCTTTCGGGTTGGGAGGTCCGTGAAGCGGGACCTTTTTCTTGGGGGGCGGAGAGCTATACCTCACAACCGTGGGGAGAAGGCTATATATCATAATCATCATCATCATCATCATCATCTTCCCGCCGTCAAGGCTGTGGTGCGTCTTTGAGCTTGCCGCCTTCATGCGTGCCAGCAGCGGCAGCTGCAATGTGGTTGTCAGGCGCCCTTTGCTCTAGGCTTCCGGATTTGCGGATCTAGTGGTTCTTCGAGTTTCCACTGTTTTCAAGGCAGACATAGTTTTAAGTTGCAGTGTTTTAACTTTTCAAGTTTGGCACAGTTCAGGATTCAGGCTTTCGGGTGTAAGGTTGCGAACAGCATATCAAATCAGTGTAAATCGTGTTTTTCTTCTAAGTTCTAAAGTTTCGGCTTGCAGATGCGACCGGGCCTAATGTTTCAGAATTGCAGACACGAGGCTCCAGGACGCTTGTCCCGCACAATTGTCGTAGGCATGACATCCTCGAGCAATACCGCCTGCAGCCCAAAGTAGCCCCACACCTCCCAAAATCCTAACCAAAACCCTATAACTCTAAACCTCAATCTTATAATCCCCAATCGCGTGCGAGAAAGGCCCACACTTCTTGGGACCTGCGCCTTGTCGATCTTCTGCGCAGTGCTCATCATGGTGATGATTCTGGCGGTATCTCGGTTTAGGGAGTATAGGGCTTTGGGACGAGGATTTGGGGCTTAGTGCTCAGGGATAAGAACTCGAAGATCGAGTGCCATGGCATAGCTTGCGGCACTTTAAAGCTCAAAGCACCGCAGTTGGGAAATTCTGCAACCCTATACCGCGGGCTTTCAACCTTTAAACTCTCAACCAACCAACGCCGATTCTCGACTGGCTGTCTTGGAAGTTTTGAGGACTGAGGCTTTGAGGCGTTGCGGGCAGACTTTCATACTCCTTCGTCCATGCAGGTTTCTCTGTTTCCTTCCTGCAAAGATTGTGTATTTCGGCTGGGTTACATCGGAGCAGATTCACTTTTGCAGTCTCGTGACCTTCTGGTCGTTGCCAACAGGTTCAGGTTGCAGAGCCAACTAGGCTCGGAGCGTCATGCTAGGAGTTTAGCCAACATACTCAGGGGCTTGGGAGGGCTACATGTTCTATTATGCTCGGTTAGCTTTAGTCCAGCAAACAGGATACAGGAATCGGAACGAGCTTGGTCATTGCCACTTTCCTGTCCCTGAACGCCTCAGTGGCGAGTCCCGCAAAGTCAGGCCCCATAATACAAGGGCCTAAATATTTACCAATACTATTTTTCGGGGTTCCTTATTATACTCATGGTATAGTGGGCCCCAAAACCCTATTTTAATTATCAGGGCTGGGCTCCATAAGCTCCGCTCGTTGCCACAACCGCACTCCCTAAACCGGCCGAAAAAACCTTGCCTTATCGACATCTTTCAGCACCAAGCCGTGCAAAGGCTTGGGGTTCATGGTTTGCGGAGGTTTGGGGTTAGTCTGTGTCGAGTTCAATACCCTCCGTTCCCGAGGTCATGATCTCGCACAACCGGGAAGGGCCGGAGTATTTGGCTGTGATTGGCCCTCTCCTGCTACTGCTCCTGGGAAGAAAGCTTGGGTGGTTAGTTCTAACCCACACAAATGCTTCAGGGGCTTTGACGGATGAGGGTTCATCGAGGAAGATGCTTCTGAGTTGCCTGGACCATAAACCCAACAGTCTAAGATACTTTCAACCGCAGTAAGATCTAACATCACAGGTCGCAAATAATACAGGTTTTTGCCTGTTCATGTAGATGCTAAATCGTAAGAACCCTGAAGCCTCACCCGAACCCTTTGGTACCCTTTTGGATTCATCATAGAGCCCTTACAGAACTCGTCGACTCCTCACAGAGAGCCCTTGCAGTATCACGGAGTAGGGATGTAAGGTTTAGGGCTTCAAAAAATTCGAGGTTTGTGTGTCAGATCCTTGGTTGCTTGGGTGTCAGATCCTTGGTTTCGGAATTGCCGAGAAATCTCGGCTCAAGGTCTCTCGGGGTTTGGGTTTATGGGGTTTAGGGCTTCAGGGTATGTGGTTCTTGGTTCGGGGCTTTTGGGTTCTAGGTCCGACCTGGTTGACAGAAACAAGATCGAACCTTTCCACTTCTGTCATCTCAAAAACTTCCATTCCATCCGTGTTTATGTATAGGCGTTTGGCTTCGAAGGCAGCTTGCCCAGTGCTCAAGCTCCGGATTCCTGTTTTGGGGTTTCGTGCTCAGTGCTTGGCCATTTTGTGGTGATGTGTGAAGTCTTAGTGCAGTCTTGAAAGACCTGTGGTGTCTTCATTCTATCTTGAAGACATGCTTGTGCACTGCACCGTGCCTACAAAATTCCAAGCAGCAGTACATCGCAAGGTGGTATCCTCAACCCCCTCTACTCTCTTCTCCCCACATCCCCAAGCCTTCAACCACAAACACCAAACCTTTAAGATCTAGCCCAATGCCTGATAAAGTTACTTGCTCAGGAGCCCGAACAAACATGAGAAACCCCTCTTCAAACTACTATACCTTTAAACGCCAAAACACTAAACCATAAAACCCAAACAGGCTAGGTGGAAAAAGGCGTGCTAAAAAAAAAGCCTTGATCGGTAACCAGTATAGAACCCCATAGCCTCAAACCCAAGCAACATACCTAGACCCCCAAAAGTAGGTCAAATAATGGCCCAAAACCTCTAAAAGGCTATTATTCTACATACTTCGGGGTCCAGGTAAACCCCATAACGCCCCACTTTTAGCCAAGGATCCTCCTAATATAAAATCTACTATATAGGCACTTTGGACCCTTTGGGACCATAAACCCTCAAACCCGAAACCCTTAAACCCTAAACCTCTAAAAGGCCATTATTCTACATACTTCGGGGTCCCTAAACCCTAAAACCCTACAACCCTAAACCGCGCCCCCACTTTTTTAGCCCAGGATCCTCTTTCCCGCAGCGGCGACCTTCCGAGCCTACTTCCAGAGCGTGGAGACCCTGAGCAGCTCGGAGGAGTCTACCGTTCGGTGGAGGGCTTAGGGATACTATAAGGGCGTCTTTTTAAGGGTTACTTTATGGGGTCTTTTAAGGGCTACTATTGGGGATACTATAAGGGTTACTTTAAGGGGTTACTATAAGGGCTACTTTAAGGGGTCTTATAAGGGGTCTTTTAAGGGTTACTTTAAGGCTTCTTTGAAGGGTTACTATCAGGGTTACTATAGGGGTTCTTTTAAGGGATACTATAAGGGTTACTTTAAGGGGTCTTTTAAGGGATACTTAAAGGGCTACTTTAAGGGGTCTTTTAAGGGGATACTAAAAGGGTTCCTACAAGGCTTCTTTGAAGGGTTACTATAAGGGCTACTTTAAGGGGTCTTTTAAGGGCTACTATAAGGGCTACTTTAAGGGTTTAGGGTTTAGGGGTTACTTTATGGGGTCTTTTACGGGTTACTATAAGGGGTCTTTTAAGGGTTACTATAAGGGTTCTTTTAAGCGTTACATTTACGCTTACTAAAAGGATGCCTTTAAGGGTTCCTTTAAGGGTACTATAAGTAGGGGTACTATGAGGGCCAAGGGTTTGGGGCTCAGGGTTTAGGGTTTATGTATGGGGTTCGTGGCAGCATGGGCCATCCGATTCAAATCCGCAACTTCCGAAAAGCCGTGTCCGATCTTGGACGGTTTAGGGTTTAGGGTTTAGGGTAAACCCTAAACCCTAAACCGTGGTTGGCCTTGAGGTGAGCAGCTGAAGGAGTTCCGCGTAAACAAGACGAAGTGCCTGGGCCCAGTGCTGCGAGGAAGTGTGGGGGCTCCAATGAGAACAGGGCATCTCCCTAAATCCTAAAACCCTCAACCCTAAATCCTAAAACCTTAAATCCTAAAACCCTAAATCCTAAAACCCTAAACCCTATGAGGCCCCATGCTTTTACGGGTCATGTCGTCGCTGATGTCTCCAACCTTGGCGGGACCAGCCCTCGGGGCCCAGAGAGCAGGGTTCGGGTGTAGGGGTTTGGGGGTTTAGGGTTTGGGGTTTGGGGGTGTAGGGGTTTGGGGCTTCAGGGATTTAGGAGTTTTGGGGGGGCTTTAGGGGTTTGGGGACCAGCAGAAATAGATGCCAGTCTTTTTGTGGTGTTTGGGGAACGTCGTGAAAGATCCTCGGAGACTCGCGTGTGTGCCAAAAAAGCATGTGGACCAGCAGGTGAAAATTAATTCTTCCTTGCAGTCCGGCTCGGGTGTCGTTCGTGGCTCCTATATGCATTTTCTAGGGCATAAATCCGGACCCTCCACCTTGCCGTGTGCCGTTTCGATGTCCAGTACAGACAGCTTCCTGTGTTAATGTTGTGTTTGAGTCCGGGCACTTGCACCCCTTAATCTCAGACTTCAAGCCGATGTGCTGCAGGGGCTTAAATAATTGCCAATATTGTTTTGGGGCTCCTTATTATAGTCATAATATAATGGGCCCCCAAACCCTATTGTTATTATAAGGTCCCTGGAGTAGCCCCTGAATCCGAGACTCCAAACACCAGCCAGGCCTGCCATTTTGTGGGTTCACTTCGTTGGAGTTTGAAGGGAAACTTGATGCTGGTTCCTCAGAAAAATCGTTCCGGCATGAGACATTTGAGATTTGGGACGTCGGGCTCACAGTTTGGATTCTAGGGCTTTGAGGCTCAGGTGTTGATTCAGGGTTTTCTCGATCGAGTCCCTTGCACACACGAGGTGCCATTGCTGCAGCGTCAACCATGTCGACAAGTCTGGCAACGCCATTCCTTTCTGTGACAGCACTTTGACCGGACAAGCGTGTGGTTGCCAAGGTTCGGTCTTGCACCGTGTGATCTTCTTGTGACTCAGGGAAAGTACATGTCATGTGTGCCCCGTAGTTTTAATGTGTGATGAAACAGCACGCAACATATGACCGAAGAGCATGCTGAGCATACCGGGTCATGTAAGTTACGCATCGTCACACCCTGTTTCGCACAGTCTTTAACCCTTAAGCCTAAGAAGGCATGCACATGGTCTCTAGGGAGTCCAACTTGACTGGCCACTTGCAAAAAAGGCCACATGTTCTCTGCGTGCAGTCTATGCTTTTGACACCGTTTTTTGTGGTGATCATGGTTCAAGGATCGGGTCATCCGGGTCATGACTCTTCATAGGATCAGCTTGTCTCTGCCACTTTCTCTCTGAGCATTCTCGAAACATTCGGCTCCGACCGCCGGATGTACCTGGTGCCCAAAGGATTGAGTCTACTCGCACTCCTACACTTCTTCAACTAAACCCCAAAACCCTTAAATATCCTGAGGCCTCAACCTCAGAGCTCTCAACCCCAAACCTGAAACTCAACTGGTCCTGGAACCCGAAGCCACAAATCCTGCGCACCCAGGAGAAGTCGTGCTGCGATGTATTCGCAATTGGCTGCTTGGCTTCAGATGTGAAGCATCAAACCAAGAGACCCCTCTCCATGGGTTTAGGGCTTAATTAGGGTTTAGGATAGAGTGCTCAGAGTTGTGATTTGAGTTTCAGGATCAAGCTTTGGGCCCCCAAAGCCAAAACCCCTTGTCGCAAGGTTCGGCAGCGAAGAAGCTTTCGAGGAGGAGGCAAAGACGCGGCCAGGCTGCAGGAGTGGTTCGGCATCCCGCAGGTCTAAACTACCCAGAGGCCCCAAAGTAGTTCCTTTTTGGGATTACCTTATAGAACCCCAGAAAGGAACTACTTTGGGGCCTTGGGGTTGAGGTCGGCATACATTTGCAAGAGACCAAAAGAATTCTGCGTTGTACTAGAATACATCCAAGACATTGTTCTTCTCGTTATTAAGGCCGCATAGATTAGAACGGTTGGGAGTCTGGTTGTCATAAACTCGAGTTTGTAGATCATTGCGCTCAAAATACAAAAACTAGATAGAACACGAGTACCCTAACCGCTGAGCTTAAAGCAGCAACTAACAAAGCTGTGCACCAGAAAGATCCAGAACTCTAAACCCTGAAACCCCAAAACCTACAACCCTAAACCCATAACTCCCAAGCCCCTAAACGAAACCCAGACCCTCGATGTCTAGAATGCCCAATAGTACCCTTATTCCCTTTTTGTAGTCCTACGGTGGATGGAGGAAATCTTGCACCACCTACACATCTTGTTTCGAATACACATCCAAGCAACAACCCCGCGCCCCCTTCTTAACATTGACGACAGACCTCTTGGGGCGGTGCAAGATTTATGTCATTGGAACGATTTTGTAAATCCCCGTGTTCATAGCAATGTTAAGAAGGGGGGAAGGGGTGAAGCTAACTAACATATCTTAAAAGTGGTGCAAGATTTCCTCCATCCACAGTCCCCAGAGCGGGGTCTAGCTTTGGCCTGCTCGTGGCTTTCCTACATGGCTTGCAGATACTTCCAGTCAGGGCAACGTTGCATAGAAGTCACAGTCAACGTTCAGTTAACGTTCAGTCAACGTTACAGTCAACGTTCCAGTTAACGTTGCGAAAATGCTGGCAGGGGCAGCATTTTGGAGTTTTCAAGCATAAAAAGCAAGAAATACATGTATTTCTTGCTTTTTATGCTTGAAAACTCCAAAATGCTGCCCCTGCCAGCATTTTCGCAACGTTAACTGGAACGTTGACTGTAACGTTGACTGAACGTTAACTGAACGTTGACTGTACGTTAACTGCAAATTCCTACCAAATGTAGCAAAGTTGTGGAATTCTTGCGATTTTAGAATGACCTGGCTGCTGCGCAAGATGCACTGTCAGGGCTGCATGGCTCCATTAGCGAAGACAGCGACATGGACGCTGCTATACGGCGATTCAGATTTTGCTGCAATGGCATTTCATGGCAAGCCACACAAGTACGTCACGCACCATGTCACGACCCTCTAGAAACGTCATATCACGAGCCTCTAGAAACGTCATTACTCGAGTCGTCCCCAGAGCGGGGTCTAGCTTTGGCCTGCTCGTGGCTTTCCTACATGGCTTGCAGATACTTCCAGTCAGGGCAACGTTGCATAGAAGTCACAGTCAACGTTCAGTCAACGTTCAGTCAACGTTACAGTCAACGTTCCAGTTAACGTTGCGAAAATGCTGGCAGGGGCAGCATTTTGGAGTTTTCAAGCATAAAAAGCAAGAAATACATGCAAAGTTGTGGAATTCTTGCGATTTTAGAATGACCTGGCTGCTGCGCAAGATGCACTGTCAGGGCTGCATGGCTCCATTAGCGAAGACAGCGACATGGACGCTGCTATACGGCGATTCAGATTTTGCTGCAATGGCATTTCATGGCAAGCCACACAAGTACGTCACGCACCATGTCACGACCCTCTAGAAACGTCATATCACGAGCCTCTAGAAACGTCATTACTCGAGTCGTCCCCAGAGCGGGGTCTAGCTTTGGCCTGCTCGTGGCTTTCCTACATGGCTTGCAGATACTTCCAGTCAGGGCAACGTTGCATAGAAGTCACAGTCAACGTTCAGTCAACGTTCAGTCAACGTTACAGTCAACGTTCCAGTTAACGTTGCGAAAATGCTGGCAGGGGCAGCATTTTGGAGTTTTCAAGCATAAAAAGCAAGAAATACATGCAAAGTTGTGGAATTCTTGCGATTTTAGAATGACCTGGCTGCTGCGCAAGATGCACTGTCAGGGCTGCATGGCTCCATTAGCGAAGACAGCGACATGGACGCTGCTATACTATACGGCGATTCAGATTTTGCTGCAATGGCATTTCATGGCAAGCCACACAAGTACGTCACGCACCATGTCACGACCCTCTAGAAACGTCATATCACGAGCCTCTAGAAACGTCATTACTCGAGTCAGTCCCCAGAGCGGGGTCTAGCTTTGGCCTGCTCGTGGCTTTCCTACATGGCTTGCAGATACTTCCAGTCAGGGCAACGTTGCATAGAAGTCACAGTCAACGTTCAGTCAACGTTCAGTCAACGTTACAGTCAACGTTCCAGTTAACGTTGCGAAAATGCTGGCAGGGGCAGCATTTTGGAGTTTTCAAGCATAAAAAGCAAGAAATACATGTATTTCTTGCTTTTTATGCTTGAAAACTCCAAAATGCTGCCCCTGCCAGCATTTTCGCAACGTTAACTGGAACGTTGACTGTAACGTTGACTGAACGTTAACTGAACGTTGACTGTACGTTAACTGCAAATTCCTACCAAATGTAGCAAAGTTGTGGAATTCTTGCGATTTTAGAATGACCTGGCTGCTGCGCAAGATGCACTGTCAGGGCTGCATGGCTCCATTAGCGAAGACAGCGACATGGACGCTGCTATACGGCGATTCAGATTTTGCTGCAATGGCATTTCATGGCAAGCCACACAAGTACGTCACGCACCATGTCACGACCCTCTAGAAACGTCATATCACGAGCCTCTAGAAACGTCATTACTCGAGTCGTCCCCAGAGCGGGGTCTAGCTTTGGCCTGCTCGTGGCTTTCCTACATGGCTTGCAGATACTTCCAGTCAGGGCAACGTTGCATAGAAGTCACAGTCAACGTTCAGTTAACGTTCAGTCAACGTTACAGTCAACGTTCCAGTTAACGTTGCGAAAATGCTGGCAGGGGCAGCATTTTGGAGTTTTCAAGCATAAAAAGCAAGAAATACATGTATTTCTTGCTTTTTATGCTTGAAAACTCCAAAATGCTGCCCCTGCCAGCATTTTCGCAACGTTAACTGGAACGTTGACTGTAACGTTGACTGAACGTTAACTGAACGTTGACTGTACGTCAACTGCAAATTCCTACCAAATGTAGCAAAGTTGTGGAATTCTTGCGATTTTAGAATGACCTGGCTGCTGCGCAAGATGCACTGTCAGGGCTGCATGGCTCCATTAGCGAAGACAGCGACATGGACGCTGCTATACTATACGGCGATTCAGATTTTGCTGCAATGGCATTTCATCCCGGAGGAGATACGGGGACCAAAAAAAAGGTGACCGGCATCATTTTGGTGAAAAGGACATTGTGTTGACGAGTGCCACTTGGAAGCTATTTGAAGAACCGTAGGTTTTATTGCAGAAAACTCTTATTCTGATATCTTTGCAAGGCAAACCTCGAGACAGATGTCGTTTTCAGGTGGTTCAGACTCAAAGATCCGCCAGACAGATCTCGTAATAGGTGAAACTTCAGTTTTGATAGATACAAAGCACATGCTTGAGCCAGTTTGAGCCAATTTTTGAGCCGTTTGAGCCACAAGCTTAGGGTTGAGGGCTTCTAGCGTTAGGGTGCAAGGCTTAGGGTGAGGCTTTAGCTCAGGTTCCACAGACCTTGGGCTTTGGGATTAAAGGTTTCGGGTTCTGGTTTCGGCAGGCCCGGTGCGATTCTCGATGTCCCTCCCGCCCCTCCCTCACGATTTTCAGCTGTCGCCGAACTTCTTGAGCCAGTGTGGCACTGCAGCTGCCAGATATCGCTTAACCGCTGTACTATGCACAGCCGCAGCATGGCATCCACTGGCCTCAGATCGGTCCCCGCTTCTTTGAAAAATGTACAGTAGTACGATGCTCGTGATGCTCCGTACTGTATATTTGTCTCTCCACGTACTTCAGCCAAGAATCTATGGAGCAAAGCCGGCGAACGAAGTCTTCATCACCGAAACAAGACATAAGTCGAGGGTTTATGGGCAGCTTGTGCAAGTCGGCGAACATATGAAACCAGGTGTGCAGCCTGATTTGCAGGGACGTTTCATTTCCAAGCCATAAAATTATGTTGCAATGTGTTTAATGCAGAGCAAGAATCTTTGGTCTCAGCTTGTACCGGCGTTTGCCGGCACAAAAAGCATCATATGCCAGGTACACGTAGCCCACCAAAAAACGGCGAACCAGCTTCTTCGCTTTTGCAACAGCAGACGGTGGGA